GTTACTATCATTGTTGATATAGCCCAGAAAAAAGCTCTCCTTATCAACAGTAAAGCTTGAACGGATTACGTGTAGGGTAAGGAGATTCAATTCTCGCTTGATTTCGGAACGTACTCAGAACTTAGCCACTGGCAACTGCGACAAGCGTTGTACCTGTAATCTCATCACAGTGACTGTTGTATTCACTTTCCTTTACGCTGTACAAAGAATCGATATTGTTTTTCTGTTGGTATGCCGTGCAGAGGGGGTGGGGTGTTCTACACGCCGTGGGATCAATCTCTTTGTTACTTCTTAGCTTCGTATCCAGTATATGTGTGGTAGAAAACATACCGTAAGTTCTTCTGAAAGGATGGCGGAAGTAAAGTTCCTCTGACCTTTTTCTTTTGCCGACTGACCTGCTATTCACGGAAATATCCGGATACTCCCCTCTCCTCACCGTCGCTACCCAGTATTCCGCACTGCCCCGGTTCTTTTGTTCCGTTCTCAACGAGAAACAAGGGATATAATTTCACTGTAGAATGTTCGAGTAGGCTCGTTCCCTAATAAGAAGGTAACCATACGGCGTACCTTGTATCCTGGATTCCGATTTTCTGACTGCACCAAAGATGACGGGAGTTCCGAACGAGTCGAAAAAGTCGCGCCAGACACGGAATCGTGTATCTTCGAAGATCATCAAGGACGAGCCGACCGACGTTCTAGTTCCTGTCGAATCTCCTCCTGACCACGACTGGCAGAACCCCGCTGAGCTCAACTACGTCGACGCCAGCACAATGTCCAAGGCCGCGATCGTCGAATATCTCATCACACACTCCTTCTCCGTCCCCCCAAAGCGCAACATGTGGGTGACCATCACCTCTGCAGACGGAACAACGACCGTGATACCCGGCGGGTACCGTATTCCCCTCCTCTTCGCCGCTCACTTCCAATGGACCTCCCTTCGCCTCGTTTTGGGCTCGGGGGAATGGGATCAGTTTAATTCCGGGATTCTCCATATCTCCCGGATGTGTGATAGATTTTTGGAAGAAGCAAGGAGCGCTATGAGGCGGGGGATGGTGAAGGGATGGAGATGCCAGACTTTTGATAGGTTACTGGTGAGGTATCGTTTGTATCACCTCTTGTCTGATCCGGATAGCGTGAAGGAATTTCATGAGACGTATGGGGAAGTGGAATATGCTAATGACGCGGTGAAGTTTGGTATGTCTTTCGTCTCGGCTTAATTTTTCCTTATTAGCTGATTGGCTGGAGACTGGAAACGCTGGGCTTTGAAAGGACATAAAGGCTTCAAGCTTTTGGAGGAAGACATCAACGAGGGGGTAGGGCTGGGTAGGTGGCTAGAAGGGCTCAGGGAACGCGACGGGGACTGGGTCTGGGATACGTCACCAGACGCTTCGGGCCGGCGCGCCATGGATTATTTGGAAGAATGGATGAAGACAAAAGTCTGGACAGTTCCGCCTCCTCTTGCTAAAAACCCTGATCCTATACCCCCCAATGACGCCGTCCCTCCTCCTGATTATTCTATTTCACACCCCCCTCCTCCAAATGACGACCTCCTTCAGTTCCTCAAAACTCGCACAGAAGAGATCAAAAACCAAGAACGTCGCATCGCCGCTCTCGAGGCCGACCTAGCCATGCTAAGGACGACTAGGACCAGTGTTACGCCAATGCCCACGGAGAACGCTGAACCAGAGTTCATCCCAATGGAAAACTTTCCTGACATCGCGGACGTGGACTGCGCGTCGAGTTTCTGGCAAGACCCATTGAAGAGGTTTTTGGATATGCCGGAGGTCGAGGCGGCAAAAGTGGAGGACATGGATGTAGATGTGGTTATGGAGGACGCCTCCCAGTCGGCTGGGCCAGTCAAATCATGGCGCAAAATTCAGAGGATGGGTGGGTGAGCGGCTTGTCATTGGTATCGGTATCATTATAGATTGTTGTACTACACTCCGTTTCTTATGTATTACCTTGCGTGATTTCGGCAGCAATGGTTCTGAGAACATTAACTTGGGATGTACAAGACCAGTGCCTTATGCCTTGAAAATCAACTGCAGGAATACGGACGAGAGCAGGACAACTGGAACAGCAACAGGAGCACTCACCGGTTGAACGACAATCCTGGAAAGTAGCACAGTCCGACAGGTAATGTCCTAGCCAGAGGATGATAAAGCACCAGACCAGTACGCGTTGCCGTGGCCGCCACAGAAGACGACTGGGCTCCTAGCGTAGGACAGGAAAAAGTAGATAATTCCGAACAAGAATGTTCCCCCTCCGCACTAGCTACTAGCTAGTACTATAAGCCCCACTTCCAACAAGATGAATATAAACATCGGGAGACTCCCAGTATCCTTGACGGCGTTGTCATTGCTACTGGTACCACTACAGTACGACATTCCGTTTGTTTTTCAAAATATAGCCCTCGTGTGACTGCAGCAACACTGACGTCCAGACGAATGTACAATGCTAGAAGCTTTAGACTTTCAGGCGTCTTGACATGTCTGGTGTTGTAAGAAACTTTCCGTGAGCGGAACGCTTAGGATGGGAGCTGGAACATTCGCTAGTTGAATGATGATCCCGGTACAGCAGCACAATCATGAGCAAGGCTTTCGCCCCTCTCTCTAACGGCTAGCACCAAGCAGGTAGAAAAGTATAAACGGGAGTCGTCTGCGAACTCATTGATATCCTTGACGACATTCTATGTCCGTTAGGGTACAATAACAAAATATGCTCCACACATCACTCCGCCCGTCGACGCCCACGAGGATGCATCATTCTTGAAATCTTTACCCGCTGATCGTCCGTCAATCGAGGTAACCGCAAAATATTGCTAGCGAGCACTGAAAAATGTGTACAAGCTACCAATGTATCGACCTTTATGAGGGACTGGACATAGCAGATCCCGGAGGCCTTCAACTGGACCCTAGGTTCTACCCAGCAACGTTAAGTTGACCGTGAACTCGGCCTTTGGTCCAGTTGAGGGTATCAGTGGATAATTAAGTATGTGATTGATATGCTAGAGGGTTAGTGTACCAACCATGTATTATCTACGTCCGGCGTCCCCAGTTGGACCGTGCCGTGTAATCCTACCTACCTACCATAGGGTACCGGATCCTAATTACCCGCAGTGACCGTCTTTTTAAGAAAATCAAATGGTGTTCTAGGGGCGATTACCTTCCCTAGGTTTTCCCTCGCTCACCACGGCACAAGGGGAGCATTCCAGCGTTCAACAAGTCGAGGGGACAAATCGCGATCATATCGAAGCATAGTGTCGATCGCACCCGATCAAGAACTCTTCGTCCCCACACCATCTACCAATAGCAATAGCATCTCATTCACACCTGATTCTAGCATTTGGCGCGTTTGGAATTCCTATAGGTGGAAGGCATGGGAGGCGGGCTGGACGCTGCCAACCTCTTTCAGCACGATAAGAGTCGAAACATAAATTAATCGGGAGGATCGGGAGGATGATAGCAACAGTGACAAATGAAAGAGCAACGCTCATTTTTCTCGGTGATGGCAGTCATCTCCGAGTATATAGGCCGTCTAGCAGCGCATCGATCTTCATCAGGTCTTTCTCCGTGATATCCTTATACGTCATGTCTCCCAGCTTGAAGACCACGAACGTCCCAGGTTGTGAATCAGAGTACCACACATGATACACATTCCCAAGCGTGTGGAAGTTCGTCAATTGGTATCGTGTGCTGTCGGGCCTCGGGTATGGATAGCTGGTGTGGTGGTAGCCACAGCGAAACGGCAGTTTACGACAAGAGCCTGACGGGCGCAGACGTCGTTAGGGTGAGGATAAATGAAGCAAACCCAGGACTCACGATTGGGGAGGAATTCGTAGGCGTAAATGTCGACCGTCTTGTTCAACGGAGTGGACATGGCTATGCGGAATGCTGCGAATGTTGCTCAGGCGAGGTCTTTATAAGGAACATCGCTGCGAGGTGGCATTATTGTCGGTGGCAAGACAACGTGCTTCGACTCGGATTGTATCAATGATGTCAAAAAGGAAAAGAGGTATTCGCCGGTCCAAAATAATCTCACGTCCACCCACAAAGGGCCATTCATTAATGTCATTTGCCATTGTAGAGAATGCGGCAATGAGAGTAAAGAAACAAGAGGAACAATGCGCACAGCCACATGAAAATCAACTTGCCTGATCAGGGTTTCTCTCTTCCCCCGACGTGCCCAACAAAATGGAAGTCTGATCAACCATCAATTAGTTCTATTAAAGCTATCGATCTATCCGAATTACATTTGCGACGATGTGAGCAGATTTCGCATTAAGTATTGAACGGTAAGGGAAAAGAGTGCTTCAGCTTCCCCTTGTTTTCCCGCAACAACGTCTTGAAGAAGTCAGAAAATGTCCTTGTGACCAGCTTCGTTCTTCATCTCATTTCTTTGAAGAAGCACAATATGTTGTCTCCGGAGTCGAGGCCTGAATCTGATACTGTTGCTTACCAACAGATGAAAATCTGCATATCTTTACTCCCGGGACATTTCAGTACGTTCACGAAATTCTCTGTTATCGACATAATGGTTGGGCGCCCATGGGCAATGACATTCACATTACTGGTATTACCATGCAGAACGTTGCCTACGTGTACCACCGCACCTTGCCCTGTCTCAGGTAGTATTTCACTCTGCTCCAAGGTTCCAAGCATGTTGTTGATCCTGCTGGGATGATATACCTTTGTTGGGATGCAAGTTCCACAGATACTGAGGAAAGAGAAAGGTCAATATGTTACCTGATGAAGAGAGTCGACTTTGCCTCGACTCTGCATCATCTCTTACTGCAAGATTTTCAGGAGTAATCGAAGAATGTCCCTTGCACCATGTGATCGCCAGCCATACTCAAAAAATTGAAATAGTCGCAGTCTGTACTCTGGAGTCTTAACTGTAAGATTCGAAGGCTGTCTTACAGTCTCAGTGTTCGCATTGCGCAAGCTTGCCGCGGCAACGCTGCCCAAGCAGCACAAACAAAATACTGAATGATTACATAACTGCCCCAGAGAGGCTCGAACTCTCGACCTTCCGATCGCTCTTAACAGTCGGACGCTGTAACCAACTCAGCCATGGGGCACATAAATTACTCCTTGTGACTGTGCTACTTTCAAAGGGACATTTCTGCATGATTCATTTATATTGACACCCTGTGCATCTAACTAAAGCTACTCAATAAGCCTAAGGACGCGTCCGTGAAAAAAATACTCGTCAACCAGTCTATATTTTATGATCTGCCAAGCTCAAGCGCGCTGTCGTTCTTCTCTGCGTCTAAAGCACTGCGGCTTCTTCCCATATTCCGCCCAATCAAAACGCCAGGGTGCGCAAAGTTCAGCGTGTAGATAGCCAAGACTACCATGGCCCCATCAAGAACGTCTGAGAGTCGCGAGAAATTAGAATCAGTCAAGAAGTGAGATATTGATCAAAACGGCGCAACATACTGAAGTAAACTTCTGTGAGAATGATCCTTCCGTTCCATCCATCGGCGAGTTCGATTGTCCGGTAGATAGCACTGTGAAATGATAAACATAAGGCTTTGACACGAACGTCATGAGAGCCAATGAAGCATACCGAATGAATAGACACAAGGTGTTGAATGCGAGTGCGAAGATCATGATTTTTATTTTCGTATCCATGAATCCACGTGGGGTATTGGGTGAAGAGAGGGTCACCAAGGAGTCGCTCCGTTTCTTGCGCGCGAATAGTTTTGAAACGGGGCGGTTGTGCGTGTAGCGGACGAGGAATTCACAAGCGAGGATGGCGTAGAACGTGATGACCACTGCCGAGACGATACATTAGCATACATCGAGACATTTGAAGAGAACGGAGGGCCCTACCAAGCTGGAAGACGATACCGGCAAGCATGACATTACTGCCCTATGGAACACCGTCAGCTGAGCGCATTAGAGGACAAAACATGTCCTCACTAGCTTGGCACCTTCGAGATCATTGCGGTCGGAAGCGGATGACGCGATACCACCACCGCCGCCTTGTACCACCAGCGAGAGAATATCCTGGGATCAATAACATAAGCACAGCGAGCGATGTTGGCTATTTCATCGTACTCACACAGCTGACGAATATTATAGAATCTAAGCAAGGGGACATCGTGAGCGAGGTGGAATAGCTGCGCGAGAGAGAGGTGCTCACATGCTCTTGGGCTCAATCTACTATAAGCGGGTCCCAGGATACGAATTATGGCTCCAAGGATGAGAAAATTAGCGGCGACAAGTGGTGTAGGTCCGATGATTGTAGCCGTTATTCTATCCCGACGGTTAGATCAGAGGGTGAATTGCGAGCGAAAGGTATAGACTCACTGAATCATAAAAGGATCACCTAGATCTGGAGATATACTCGACCAAAACCTCCCGCTCCATCCCAAGATCTCGAGACATCCGGCGAGGATGATAGTCGGGAACGCCCACCACATACGGAAATAGACGGTCTGAGCCGTGTGTGTCACTGATAAGACAGCGTTTAGCACCACGGATACCGAATTCTAGGGAGTGACGATGCTTACAGGTAGATATTCCAAACAGGATAATGAATGTGAGGGCAATGCCTTTCGATGGAATGTATCCATAGGGAGAGTCTTCCCGGTCTACTTCAGCAGCGAGAGTTTGCACTGTAGATATCAAACAAAGTCAGCTGCAAGCGTCAAGTAGCACTTTGTTAAAACGCGCACCATGTTCTAATAGGGACATGGTCGTAGAGTTTTATAGACACTTTAGACGACGAGAAGGAATGATGGGAGAAAAAATCAAGGTGTGCTTTATGTATGACTCAGAAATTACGATAGACATCTTCGGAACGTCGGTTAGCCCAGTTAGGAGGTCCCGTATAGCCTTGGAGGACCTTGGCAGATGTTTCAATATGTGGAGAAAACAGACCGTATCCCGACTGGAAGGTTACGTATTGGACATTGACGATGAAATTCGGTCCTATTCTGGAAAGTGTTTCATGCCGAAGCGACACCTCATTGCAAGCAAAGATCGTCTAATCTGTAGATAAGCAACGAACGTTGATCAGTATCAATCAGGGCAGCTTGGCAGTGTCCTTGCGCAGTCGCCCACGAACGTTAGAGCGAGGACCGCAGCATATAGCGATGCAGTAGGGATATTGATTCACGTACCGTGGGGAACCCAGGCGTCGCTACTGGCCAAAACTGAATACTCTTGAAACGATCCTCGAGAGACGGTTCTCTGACCGCGTAAGGCAGTGTCCTTAATCTTGCATTCGTACCTGCCCTTGTGGCGACCCGTGGCGTGCGAGTGATGGAGGGCGTTGTTATTGCAATATTTGCAAGGCGCTTAAGTACTTTTTCTTCGCGTTACAACTCGGAGTAAAAACTGGACCGTATTGAAACGGTATGTTTGGTGGAGGCACAGAGAGAAACGTCTCCGTCGGTCCGACGGCCGACGGTTGCTGACAAAGATCAATTTCCTCTTTTATCCTGATCGCCCTGCCGCAGCCACGTCACCTTCAATGCCGATTGCGACTGAACAGCTCTGTGATTCATTGGAAACCCGTTGACATTGTCCCCCAAAAAACATCTAGCTAGACATACGATTCGCAAGTCATTGACCCGTATTTCGTCGGAGCGGCTTGGAAAAAGTAACAAGGGAACTTGGGTTGGTTTCCTCCGACTCTCCTACCTCATGCTTGCGTCATGTAAGAAAGCCTGTCTACTGATGTCCAGGCCGGTCAAGAAGACTTGCAGTGCAATTCCGCAGCTGCTGGCGATGATGATAACAATTTCCGTTTTTCTGAAAACCAGACGTTTCTTACTGACACCAGGCTGACAAGTAATGGTCGTCGTAAGGGCAGTCACGATCTTGCAAGTCATTCTTTCCTTATCTCCTATTGGATAAAGTCGGACCACCGAAAATGGTCTTGTTCGCAGTTTCACAGTTTGAAGACCCGCTTGAGCTCGGGATTCCTAGCGACGCGTCGGTGTCAGACGTGGTAGTTTTTTACCATCTGAGGTTCAACGCAAGAAATTTCTGTATCCTGCATTTCATGGCCGTATCGATGTCGCTTTCAATTCTCTGATGAACTAGGCCGTTGAGTGCATGATTTTTTTTAATTATATAGAAGTCAGTTAGTATGAGAGAACAAACTCTCGTTATCGAACGGTGGACTGGCCGTGTAGTATTCTTCGTCAGGCAAGCAAAAAGTTATTCCACACGCAATACACTATTGTATTGCCGGAATTCGAACCCAGGACAGCTGCATGGCACGAAGCAACTCCTGCACCAAAGGAGAACACGTACATATGCTTTTGTTAGGAGTCAACCTCCGCTTACGTCGTAGCGTAAGCACTAACCGGTCGACTTCGCAAGCTTGGTTTTCTTTGTTGATGAGTCCCCTCTACAGAGGGCGGGGCAATTATTTTGAACCGAGGAGCACGAGAACGATGAATAAAAATGAAGCTGCGAGCGACCCGCCTTCAGGGGCCAACCGGTCTAAAATGATACGATAAAGCAAAGCTTACTTTATGTCTCAGCAGAGTATGATCCTCCAATGCTTTCGTGGAGACATTCTTATAAGATAAGAGGCTGCCTCGACGAGTCAGTTTCCGAACGGAGGAATAATAATATATTGCGTACTCACTTACATATCATTGGTACGATGATTTCTGGACAGACATAGCATCAGAACGCGACCTAAATTTGGGAGGATAAAAATAAACAAAGCGCGCCGGGTTGAACATTTTTTTCGGAGCAAGTCTGGATCGTTTGATCTTTGCGTGTGGTTGGGAGATGTGGTTTGATAAATTTTCATCTGGACGTCAGTTCATGTAAAGTATCGACATCAGCAGATTGGGAAAAAAGTTTCCGGGGCTTGCGGCGGCCACGGTCCGGCGGAATCCTTATTCGCCTTGTCAAGGCCTTACAGAGTCCATATAGCCGGGGCACAATGTTGCGTCCTTTTCATATGCTATTAGAACCTCGCAGAATAATAACTTAGCCTTCAAATTTACATACAACTATTTACAGCTCGTATATCACTACTATAAGCTCAATAAAATGTAGTCTCGCCTCTGCAGACTGAATGTATTTGATTCTGAAAAGCTTAGGTGCCCAAAATGACGACAGATTTAAATGTACTACGAGCCGGCAAACCCCATATCTATGATGTCAAGACGGTAGTTCAACCTCTGCCGGTCCATCAGAATTGGCGTCTTCGGGATGCCCCTCACCATCGTCGTCATCACCTTCCTCTGAATGTTCTTCCATAGTGGATTCATCATCTCATCTGGTGGTCCCCGTTTTGTTTGTGCATGCCTGCTTGGATTTATTTCGACCCTGTATAATATTTGGATACTGGCTGCACAACGGTTCTTGCGAAGTGAGTCCTTCAGATGTAGTACTGCACTACTGAATTTTCAGCCACGCCCTCGGCCTACCTCAGCGGGACTGCTGCAGCAAGGGAGAAAAAGTTCGGTCATTAAGAGAACCAAGCGAGACAGGGTGCATGTCGTGACAAAACGAGCATCCGAATCGGAGATCTCGCGATCACCAGATCAATGCTGAACGTGTCATCCTATGCAATGCATCGTGACATGACACCGCGCGGTCTTACTCTGTTTCCTTCTAAGTTCTCGTCACAGAGCACTACGCGTCCATTCGTCCCACGAGGTTTTCTCTGCATGGTCCATGCATCAGATACCCACCCTACAAGACTGCTTTGCCTCTAGACCTAATTTTCTCCGATGCGGACTTCTTCTTCCGAGCCGGAACTGAAATGTAGTCAGCTATTTCAACATAAATACAGTCCGAAATAGCCACCAAAGTTGAATGCCCCAACGTCTCGGGCAAGATATCATTGCCTCTCCAACCATCGCAAATTCCTCACCTACGCAACTCGTCTCAGGCATCGGTGCGTCCATTTCAAACATTCAAGGTCTTCTGAAGTGACATATCAGTGCAGAGTCGGAGGAAGAAGTGGTCGTGTTGAAAGGTACTCAAGTCAAGAGAGTCAACCGTCATGGTCGGTGAGTTAAATCTCTTGGAATCAGCTCCGTATAGCATCTTAGGGAAAAATTTAAGCCATTAGGGTGCAACCTTCTCCATACAA